TAGCCAGTCGGCTGGCTAGCTAGCTAGCCAGCTAGCCAGCTAGCTAGCTAGCTAGAAAGAGAAGAGCAGGAGCGACTGACTACGTGGACTCTGTGTCTGTCGTACTCGTAGTCGTGCAGCATCTGCTGCCGCTGCTGCTGCTGCTGCTGCTGCTGCTGCTGCTGCTGCTGCTGCTGATACCTGCGGCTGCGCCTCGATGGGGAGATAACTGTTTGCTTCTGGCGCCTGTTTGGCAGCAGGACGCGGTGCTGCTGCTCCTGTTGCTGCAAGTATTCCTGCTGCTGCTGCTGCTGCTGCAGCAAGTATTCCTGCTGCTGCTGCTGCTGCTGCTGCAGCAAATATTCTTGCTGCTGCAGCTCGCTCGAATACCCCGACCCAGACACAGAGGGGTCTTCTTCTCTAGGAGTTAGTGAGGCTTCTTCTGTAGCAAATTGCCCAGCAGCAGCAGGTGCAGCAGCAGCAGCAGCAGCAGAGTAAGTGGCTGTTGCTGCTGTTGCTGCTGCAGCAGGCGCCAGCGCTGGAGAGCCTTCTGTGTAGAAGGCCGTGTTGGGTCTGCCGCTGCCGAAGGTTTCCAGCTGCAGCTTTTGCTGCTGCTGCAGCAGCAGCTGCTGCTGCTGTTGCTGCTGCTCCATTTGCTGCAGCAGCAGCAGCTGCTGTTGCTGCAGGTGCTGCTCCTCCTTCACGAGCATCGTGAGCTTTTCGTTTGTTCGCGCCTCAATTCCGGCCTGTTTTGCTGCTGCTGCTGCTGCTGTTGCAGCAGCGCCACACGACTTGCTTCTGCAGCAGCAGCAGCAGCGCTCCTTTCTACACTGCTGCTGCTGCTGCTGCTGCCGCTGCTTGGGGGTGTCTTCCAAAGACTCTACAAAGCTGCTGGGCTCTACGAAGTTCTCCACTAGGCACTGCCCCTCTTGAACTCCGTTGCTGCTGCTGCTGGCGCTGCTGCTGCAGCAGCAGTGACAGTCGTTGCTGCAGCAGCCCTTGCTGCTGCAGCGCACGCGGTGCGTGTCTTGCTGCTGCTGCTGCTGCTGCTGCTGCTGCGGAAGGCATGCGCTGCACGGCCGCGCCGTAGTCGAGTAGCCCCGCACTTGGGTGGAGAGGGTAGAGGG